GGAAGAATCTGTGTATTATCAATTTTTACCTTCTCGTTTTCGTTCTGTTCAGCTACTTGCTTTTTTTCGTTTTCGAAATTTTCTAATTTATCGAGAATGGTTTTATCCGTTGTCTTATCTTCCGGTTCTCCAGTTTCTTCCGGCATCTGGCTAGAGGAGATTTCGGCAACCTGGATACTCTCGCCGACATCAGTAGTCTCAATACTTTTGTCCTTCGCAGTGTCTCGTAATTCCGAGGAAATATCAATCTCTGGCGAAGTTGATTTTTCGGGGTACAAAATTGTCTGCGATTGTAACATCGGATCGACGATTTCCTGATTTCCATTTGATGAGTCCGGTTGTTTGGTATCACTATTGGGATTCGTAGAAATATCGGGATTTGTGGAAATGCTTGGCGGCGATAACGGCATGCACGGCGATATTACTTTTGAATTGACTTTCTCGATGTTTTCGGGTACCATCGTTGTAGTTGGTGCGTGTGTTCCATGATGTATGACACGATCCTTCTTTTGATTAAACAGTACCTTAAACAAAAACAAAATGCTCCAGATAAAAAGTATTAACAGTTTTATATTTTATAAATAACACTACTTATTTTTGTTTTACTCCAAGTATAATAAAGTATAAACAATTTTAATTTTATCATAAAATTTTCATATGTGTTATTGCAATAATACATAAAATAATGCATAAAATTTTGGTTATATTTTCAAAATATTAAAAAATATAAGAATATATGTATATATACCTCACTGCGACATGGCCCCGATGGATCTAACATTAATGTTACAACACTGGTGTTATCTGCCCGTAATCTAGTTGATGACCATCTCTCCAATGCACGGTCCACAAGACTTTTTGAAGGATTTATCCACATTTGTAAATCAGCCTATCAAAAAAGTTTGTATATATCAATTATCAATATAACTTGTTATAATATATTTCATATATTTTAATATATTTTGGCACTTTTATATATATAATTAGTACTATAATAATAGAGCATGCTTACACTATTGCCAGTCTGTTGAGATGCTATTAAATGTTTTTCATTGTGTCTATCTGTGGCTTGAACAATTGCTACCGCAGCTTGTGGTGATAACATATTCCACAAACCATCGGTACCAAAAATGAGACAACGGTGTGACTTGACATCAACTGGAATAACCTTGACATCTGGTTCGGGAGAGACGACAAAAGTATTTAATTCAGAATTGTAACTCCATAAATCACCTAAAACAAATTTTTGGTTAGATTCTTTTGTACCCGCAAGAAATATCATTTTTTGAAGATATTCAGATGTACTTACCCAAAGATCTGGCTACCGCGAGAAATGGGATTTCGTCCATGTGAGTAGATCTTCTAACTGGACCTTTATGCCCTATACGAGGTCGATTCCATACAACTCTTGGAACACCAGATTTACTAACTACTTTTCCTCCCGACTCCTGTATACGTGTCATCTCTGGCCCGCTCTCCGGTTTGTGATCTTTTGTCAGAGCTTTTGCTCGCCATTGAAGATCACCTTCCACCTGATAGCCTAATATAATAGCGGAATCTCCCACGTGACCTATGTAAATCTTGCCTTTCCGTATGAATGCGATGCTGGCAGTTGTGCCAGCTGTGGATGGCAATCCGGATGCGGTTCTTGGCCATTTATCTGTTCGAAAAACAGCACCAGGTCAAGACATATATCAGTCGCGATATTATTACACAAAAAGCTACATTTCTAGCGACCAAGGTCGCCGAGAACGCAGAGCGTCAACGTGTCTGTTACGCTTTATGCGCGCGCGACGATATCGCCGCGGAAATTGCCGCGACTCATATTCGCGATGAGGCAACGTAAAAAGGCGACGTCGCATCGTTTATCCTACCGCTCCTTGATCTCGAATTTCCAGGTTAGCTCGGAAGTTACATAACCTAAACCTCTAACCTAATCAGGCCTAGTCGCGATGGCGGCAATGGTGGGGGAAATACGCGGGACGATGACAGAGATTCTCGACGGAGAACCGGGAGAATCGCCGTTGCGGGAGATCGTATCTTGCAACGGTGTCCTCGTCGGCAGCTCCGAGCTCGCGTGGAAATTCAAAGAATCGTCGCGCGCGCCAACGAGACGCAACAATATCTCGTACCGAGCTCCCGCCACATCGCGTAATGTGTGTTCATATATCCGTCCCTGATCGCCCGTAGCACGTCCTCGTCCCGATCGCTCCAAAAGTTCTTCTGCTTCACGATGCTGTCCATGAGATGTTCCTTGGCGAACGTCGCCGCTTCCCCGCCACCGTGGCCGTCGAATATCCCGAAGAACGCGTACTCCAGATCCTTGTCGTCCGGTGTCGGTTGGAACGCCACGCAGAACATGTCCTCCATGTATTTGCGGCCGCCCTGATTACAGTGGCCGGTTACCCGCAGATTAACGCCGATACTCAGCGGCATGGTGATGCCCAAGGATGATCCTTTCAGTAACGACGACGACGACGACGACGTCGTCGAGAAGCCGAGATACGTACAACTGCCCGTATAAAGCGGCTGTATACGTGAGCACTCTCTCACTGGCACGTACAACAAACACCGAACGGAAACCTCGCATTTACTGGGCAGGTCCGCGCGCGCCGCGCAATCCGTGGGAGCGGGGAACGGTGACGTTGCGGTCGACGACGAGGGCGACGCGGTGGGGATTGGGAGTCGGGCGGGCGAACGGCTGGAGCGTGCGAGAGGGGTATTTCCTTTCCCTCTTCCCCACTTACCAACGACCTCGCACACACACATGTATACGCACATTCTCTCTCTCCCCTCCTCTGCGCGCCTCTCGTCTAGTACGATTTCACCGATACGAGCGCAGCCGACGTTTCTCGAGAATCGGCTAAAGAGCGGAAGATTTTGGAATGCACGCGCGTGTTTTCGAATATGTCGATCGCGATCTATCATTATGAATGATCGCCGGTGCGTTTTATCATAGAGCAGAGAGGAAGACGGAGATTTTCTCTTTCTCTCTCCCTCGCCATCGACATATTCTCGCCGTCACACCGTGACCGTTTATAAAGAGACGGGCATTGTTAGCGAAGGATAAACGCGCGTATACACGTTCTCTCACGCGTTTGCTTGAAAGCCTCGTCGAGCGTCGCGGAGCCTTGAAAGTTAGCCGTCCGAGATGTTGATTGAGAGAGTAGACGACGGCGGAATAAATCGACGACGTACGATGCGGACTTTAGGTCTCTCTTAAGCCCCCGTGTCCGGCAACAATATATTTCCAGTTTGCCTTCTCATTATGTCCAATTACTTCGCACGTTGCCACGTGCTTCCTCCCCTACTAGCAATCCTCTAATTGGTCGCAGTAAGACGGCGAGTTAGAAATGCGCTTTACCCAAGATAAATAAGGAGATAAGAGAGCGTTTCTGAAGTTTGCGAAGTTCGCGGTCGTTAGACTTCGTTCACAACGATGTATATAAAAGGACAATGTGAGCGGAGTTTATTTTGACGTCTTGAAAAGTACGTGTGTACGTGACGAACAAAACATCTTTCAAAGGAGAGAGACTTATCTTGCGTTTCATATACAAAGTTTCCTTCTCTTTTCGCGTTAAATAGATAACGACGAAATTTTAAAAATAGGAGAAAGTGTGTGAAAGAAAAGAAAAATCGAGACACGATGTTTATGGTATCGTTACTCGTCTCTGTTCGAGAGAACTGATATGATTATACCGATTTGCTTCAAGGAGAAAACGCAGAATAAATGATCGCGTATCGCTCGAAATTGATTTACCCGCGATAATTGTTTATCTACCGATTAAACGTGGCTTCTGATCTTTATTTCGAATCATCGTCGAGGCGCGTCGCCCCTCGAGATGACACTCACTTATCGATAAGTTTGAATTCATTTTTTTGCTTTATTTATCTGACACGCTCGATTCTCGCACGACAAAGAGACTCAACTTTCGAACAAAAATCGCATTTGAAAATAGATTAAAAATAGTTTCAAGCTAGAAATATCAAATCTAAAAAATCTCTGTAAAGATAATCTTTCTCACATTCATTTTTCTTTCTTTTCCACGCGTATAAACATCGCTTGTTTTAGAAACAGCAGGCACAAAATGCGCAACTAAATGAGATTTTAAATCGACTTTCTTTTTATATCGGTTAAAGGGAATAAATAAGATTAAGAACCAAGCCGGATTAAGAGGTGACGCGCACGTTTCAAGACTAGAGCGTTTTACAAAATTTTCAAAAGGTCCCCGCGGGCGGGCAGCTCATCCAGTAACATTACCTTGGTTATGTTACGGCTGTGACCAGCCGGCGGCGCGTCTCCCCTAACCCCGTCATCGCGCCGCACCTTCGGCAGCATCCCCACCGCTGCGGAAACTTTTACGCGCCCTTTCCTCCGCGCGCGCTCGCCAGTCGACAAAGCTCCCCCTCTTCTCTCTTTCTCTCTCTTGTCGCACACGTCAAACCGCCCCTCCTCCTTCCCGCCATATCCCCGCGTCGATGCGGTGGCCTGTCAGATGTCGGTGCTATTCATGCCGCGCATCTCCGCTCACGCAGTCGTGCTACGTTGCCACATTTCCTCCTGTGCTCTCTCGCCGTTGCCGCGAGCGGCAACCTGATTTCTTGTCCAGCTCGGCCGATTGCGACCGAGAATAACGCACCTGGAAAAATTGTCCAGAGTGATCATCGCGCGATTCGAAATCGCGTCAATATCATATCATATGCCCGATATTTTATACTGCAGCGCGTTTCGCCTTCATTAAAATTCGATTTTTTTAACCGATATTACGCGTAATATATGCTGCTTGGATAGGATAGGTTTATTGCATATTTACGCGATATAGCCCTTCCGTTTTCAACGGTACTTGGCGCGGTAGCGAAGGGAACGGGACGGAAATTTCAGCGAAACGGCGACCTCATTGGCGCGGTGACTGGTCGTGCGTATGTAAAAAGCCCAAGAGCGGCAAGAGCGAACGAATGGCCGGATAAAAAGGAGCTGCGTCGTTTCGCCTCGCAGTTATCTCTATGCCGAGCGAGCAAAACATGGGGGCACGTGTTTGAACTTGTTCGATCATGACGACGGCGACGAGACGGCGGAGCAAACGTGGCAACGTCGCCGTTCAAAATAGCTCTCACCAGCTGGCGACTTTCGCCCGACCTACGAGCGGACTAAAGTCCGTGGAAATGGCGAGCCGATACTCTCGAGGGAGCTCGAATTCCGCCGATCCATGAGGCGGACTTCGATCTCGGCGGCTTGAGATTGTGCATCCGGGAAAATATCCGTACGTTCGAGAAATTACACGGTGACACGACGATACGGTCGGAATGTGTCATCGATTGCATCATCCTCTCGAAAAACATGGTCGCCGCTAATCTATTCCGCGAACAGTTATGTCGCTCTATACCTCGATCAAGCTGCGAATAAAATACTGCGGTTAGGTTTCATCGTAGCGAAGGAAGAACTGTAAAATAAAACGGGAAAGAATAATTAATTCGATTGCAAAAAAATTTTACAGATTCTTGTCGAGATGAGTTTAGAATTTTTATTTCGACGCGCAAATCGATACTATGAAGATCCGTTTATTTGATTTCCCGCAATAAACGATACCGACACCGCCATCTGTGCTTTGTCGGTTAAGTTATAAAAGAAAAGATTTGTAGGACCATATAATGTAGATTATTTTCCAAGCATATATTTTTAGAAACGTTAATTTTTCAAATTAACGTGGATTATATTCTATCATAGCATCATCTCCATTGTTTCACATCGATATTTGACGTTATATAAACTAATAATCGTGTAACGATTAAATAAATGCGGCTATGCATTTATTCACATAATAAATTTGTAACTTACAGCGAACAATTTCTAATTGTTTTGTGTGCAATCTCGAATTCAAACGAATTCGAAGATTTGCTTAGAGCACGCGAAATTAGATTACTCGAAAAATTCGTGAGATCAGCAATGCAGACCGTTATAATCTCGGCGGGATCAGATTTCAACATTGACAGACACACAAAAACAACTTTCATGTTTATTGGTAACAACACGATTCGCGGAAATATATTCGCGATGATTGACAATGAGATATACGTTTTCCCGCGTTATCGAAAATTTAACTCACCGACAGTTTCAACTCCTGTATGTTTACACAATATATATCTTTTATGCGATATCAATGGGGTAGACGCTAAGACTTCCATGCGTGAATCCAATATAAATAATAAAATGCATTTGTCAGTGTGACGCAGAAAACATTGCAAAAAATGCAGCCTCTGATATATGACGTTCGAACGCATGTCCTCCGTGATTGCGTTAACGTCTTTTTATCGATTGTCCCTCGCACGTGCCGTACAATGCAGACATGGCATCCGGAACCATCAAGCATTCCCCGGTCAGCGACTAGAACGTACACGTTCGTACCTGTTAGATCACGCTTATAGTTATGCTGCCTCACCGGGCTGAGTCACGAGACGGACTGGTGACTGGTGACTTATATTGGTAGAATTGCGTACATTACCTGAATCCTACCCATAACACACGATCGCTTTTAAACTGCGATTGTCCACGCTTTATGAATAGAGCGATTGTGCCTTTTGGATGCAACTGTAAAAATAGGAAAAAGTTAGAACATATGCAGTAAATAAATAAAGAAATAATATAATGAAGTATATATATAACTTAATTTACATTAGTATAGTCATCACAAAAGTAATAAAATAAAGATATATTTTAAAATTATTCTGAGAATATGCAAAATAAAAAAATAAATAGATGTCTCATATCTTTTTTTTACACACACACATACACATATATACACGCTTTATTTCTTCATTTGCAATTGCTACACTAATATAAATAATTAGTATAACAATTGCTACATACATACACACACACATAAAGACAAAATTATCATATACTATATTTAGTACTATTATAATTCGAATATGCAATATATACAACATGTACCATAATTCAATTGTACTAAATTAAAGTTTAAAGTAATAGAAATAAATTATAATTAAATTATTACATACTTTTTATCGAAATTATAATTACTATAAGTTTAGAGGAACACTCGCCAACAAGCAGAGTGGCGCAGTGGAAGCGTGCTGGGCCCATAACCCAGAGGTCCGTGGATCGAAACCACGTTCTGCTAGGAAATTTTTTTTTGCTTTCTCTCTCCAAAATTCTTCTTTTCCTTATATATATAAAGGATCCAGTAATTTTATGTATTATTTAACAATTCTCTGTCAAATCTTGTAATATACTTTCAGCAAAATAATTGTTTATCTTTCTCAAGATATCCTTTCTTTCACGAACTTTTGCACGAATTTTTATAAAAATTTTAATATAATACTTTTTTACATAGATATTTAACAGATAAATTTTTTGCTTTCTAAAAAAATTATCTTGAAAAAGGCTAAAAAGAATGGTTGTAATATACATTTAGCAAAATAATTGTTTATCTTTCTCAAGATATCTTTTCTCTCACGAACTTTTGCATGAACTTTCATAAAAATTTTAGTATAATACATACTTCTTTACATATATATTTAACGGATAAATTTATTACTTTCTAAAAAAAAAAAATTATCTTGAAAAAGGCTAAAAAAAAATGGTCGCCCAACGTGGGGCTCGAACCCACGACCCTGAGATTAAGAGTCTCATGCTCTACCGACTGAGCTAGCCGGGCTACTTGCTACGTGTTGGTTTTAATTAGTACATTAAGTGTATTTATACGATCGTATATAAAATTAGTGCTTTTATATATATATATATATATATATATATATATATATTTCCTACTATAATATATTATGATAAATCAAATCACATAAATGCGATAGTAAGACAGCTGATGAAATAAATAATCGTTGCACAAAATAAATTTTTATTAAACTTGCATTTTAGTAGCAAATGGCTCGTTACAATTCTGACAATAAATATATATACAATCGGTTTTTTTTTCATATAAATAAAATGAACACAAGTAAGAAGTATTTTAACGTCGCACTAACACGCATCTCTTTATGGCACATGAATGTGTTTACGCGTTCACATTGATATATAAACTTTACATAATATAGAATATGTAACTTATTGTTCTTCATCTTTAAGAGATGGTCATATATCGGTGGTCCCTTTCGGCAATAATGCACAATTTTTCAATATTTCAAATTACATATTCTCGTCACAATATATTTGATAACAATAATAATAACATTTGTAATCAAACAGTGCCATATATGCGACGAACAGGTTAACAGTCTAAGCAATCTAACAAACTAACTAGAGATCGAGAAGCGTTATCCTACGTACAGTATTATACAATATTAAAGAGATTCTAAAAAGATTAAATATGTGCTTCGTATTAAATAAATATATGTATTTATTAGTTTAAGCGTTTTCATGTATGAACACATTGCATTGACAACATTAACAATACCATATCTCTATCTTTGTCTATTTTTTTTATAAAGATATCTTTCATTTCAAGAAACTTTATCAATCCCCAACTTCTTCATTCCATTTGGTGCATATATTTATCAGAATGTTTTTGTTTGATATTCAACGTGTAATTCTAAATTTATGGCAGAATCGAATGTTACTTATTCATTAGACAAATATCTCCTAGATATAAATAATCGCATTTATAAATAACAAGTATAAACTAATTTAGAAATCTTTAAACACTATTTGTTGTGTGAAGAAAAATTCATTTTTATACTTTATTTTAACTGTCATGCGAAATCTTGGAAGCCTCTAATTGTTTTACTATTTATCTTTTCTCGTATAAAAACTATTGATAAACATTTCAAACTAATTTTCTTCTATTAAATATACATCAGTACAAGTTTAAAAAAAAACTATGGAATATTATGGAGAGAATAATCATAAATTAAAGGGGCTTTAATATATTTCGGAAGAAAAAAAGGCCATTTTTTTATTATATTTAAAATTCTTACCTTTACGCGAAGGAAGTTATTGCATTCGTATTGCGAAAAATAATGTGAATGTTACAAACAATGTGAAACTCTTTCTCTGATCAATTTTGTTCGCCGTCGAGCAGCCAGGCGGACATTTCAGAGCCTCGGCGGTCTGATTCTGGTACAGAAGATTTCTCATGATCTTTTTACCCTCGCACGAGTTCTCCACCCGGACGAACTTGATTTTCCGCGTTTCGAGAAATTGCTCCAGGTCCACGCGGCAACGCCACTTGAGTGGATTGCCGGCGAATTCGACGACGTGCAGATGTTGCATGCTTTGCAAGTCGCTGGTGAAGATGCACTGTAGATCGTTGCCTTCGAGATTCAAGTAGACCAGTCTGGGCAGGTGATGGAAAGCGCCTGGCGCGATGTAGCGGATCAAGTTACCGCGCAGATCCAACCGCTCGAGACGCTCTATGTTGAAACACTCTGCCTCGATCGACGTCAATGTATTATTCTGGATGGTAAGTTGCTCTAGGGAGTCTAGGCCTCTGAAAGCGCCGGGTTCGATCGTTTTAAGACCGCAGTTCCTGATGACGAGCTCCTGCAATTTTGAGAATTGGTAAAGAGAGCCGGCCGGGAGGTGAGGCAGATGTCCATCGAGGAACTCGATGGCGACGGCTTCATATGGTAGGCTCTTCAGCAATGACAGATTGCCGCCGACGCAACGATACCGCGGTTTCGCGGAGTCAGGAATTCTGGTGCAGGAACCTTGAATACGCTCGTCATAAAGACCTATCGAGGGCGGTTCGGTCGTAGTCGACTTCGAGGTGATCACCGCCGTTGTGGATGGGGTCACGGGCATTCCGGTAGCGTAACAGTCGTCGCCTGTATCGAACAGGGTTTCGCGATTGTACGGTATCCTACGGGAATCCAGGAAGCTGGCCAGCTTGGACCCGCACAGGCAAGTCCACGGATTGCCCGACACTTTAAGAGAATACAGATGCGGCGCCTTGCGCGCCATATGTTCCACGCCGAAGCAGTTCATGTTATTCTCGGAGACGTCGAGGGTGTACAACTGCGGCAATATATCAAACACTTCATTGTTGATGCGGTAAATGTGATTTCGCGAGAGATCCAAGTGCCGCAGATTCGTCAGGCCTTCCAATGCCTCAGATGACACCAACTTTAGTTGATTACTGTGCAATGACAGGTAGTTTAGATTGTACAAATCGACGAAGGCGCGATATTCGATCGTCTCGATATCGCAATCGCGTAATTCCAATCTGGACAGCCAGCCGTCGAAGCGGGCGAACGCTCGAGTCGGGATCGTTTTCAGGTTCGAGAGGATGATGCGGATGGTGTGGGCCGAATGAGGTATAACGTCCAATTCCTTTAGCGAGACAATGCCACTGCAGGTGAAAACTTGCTGCGATGTTTGCGTCCTGTCTTGCGCGCAACTACCTCTATGAACCGGCGGTTTCTCTGTGTGAATCTCGATCGTCGGTCTTACTACGGTTATATTCTTGTCATACAGAATTTGATCGTCGAAAGACGTCCAGCGCACTTGGCCGGTCGAAGTCGTCTCGGTCTAAAAAGAAATATTTCGTATGAGAAGAATGTTTAACAAGCCAATACCAAGATCTAGATAAAATTTCTTTTGATGACTATTTTTATAAATAAAATATAATAAATATAGAATTTATCAAAAGAATATCATATGTATGAGTATATTATATATGAAATCATATATAAAATATATATGAAATGCAGAGTAAAAATTAAAATAAGAATTTTCTCTATTCGCGATATCATGAATAAAACGTGAATTCTTTTAAGGAGAAAGATTTCATAGAGAAATTAAGTAAATTCTAAGAAAAAGCTTTACTTTTTACATATTACTCTCTGCAACATTCTTTATGCTGTAGTATCTTTTACTTTTGAGACAAAACTTGCGAAGAATACTTTGCATTTCCCCCTTGAAGAAGACAATCAGACATTTTTATCAAATCGCCACTTACAATCGAATGCTGCCCTCCATCAGTCGGTTCGATGATCACTTCGTCTTCCTCGTAACATCTATCGGCAATCTCGAACCCCACATTACGATCAGTAAGGAACCTCTGCAGATTCCTGCGACACTCGCAGTACCACGGATTACCAATGGCGTCGAGACGCTCGAGATGCTCCAGATGCGCCAGCTCGTTCACCGACAGGCAACGCAATTGATTGTATCGCACGTCGAGATGGCGCAGGCTGCCGGCCAACGGACGAAACGCGCCTGTCTCGACGCGCGTGATGCCGTTGCGAGCGAGGACCAATAGGCGCAGCGCGACGAGATCGTCGAACCAATGAGCGGCGACCGCGGGCAGCCGGTTACCGACGAGCGTGAGCCGTTGCAACTGGTGTAGACCGGCAAACGCGCCCGGCTCAATCGCCCCGATCGAGCAATCGCGGAGTTCCAGGCTACGGAGGCTGTTGCCGAAGCGAAAGAACGCGTACGCGGGCACTTGATCGATCTGTAACCCCGTGATCTCGATCCACGTACTCCTGTCCGGCAGTCGGTCCAGCGACGTCAGCGCGCTCGTCTGGAAGCGGTTACCAGGACGTTCCTGCGGGAACAAGTGAGAAATAGATAAGATACCCGGGGGGTTGATCCGCGAATGTGATAAGTGAGGTGAGCTCGTTTCTTTTTGTGCACGATCAACGAGATCTCTATCATTCTCTTCCATTTGTGTCGCGATCTCGGATACGATTGTCAATCGCGATACCCTTACTCGGTATTCGAACTCTGGTCCCCCCCATTATTGACCAATTTCCAAGCTTTAGTTATCGACAACAATCGAATGGAATTCGTTACAAAGATGGAAGAAGTGCAGTAATCTTCTATAGATGCTCGAATGTTTTTAACGTGATTCGTATTATAGATTGCACATAGATTGCGTATCGCGCGGGATTTCGTCACTCCTACGGTGAGCCAATCAGCGGCAGCTTCGCGGGTCACGTGACCAGTCGCACTAAAACTTCGCGTTCAAATCGAGCGATAAACAGTTCCGTGCTTGACGTACTCGTCCAACAAAACGAACGCGTTCGCGAAATATCGTGATACAATTTTCGGCGTCACATAACTTGCGTGTCGGATACGTGTTGTGATGTATCGTGACAGTTGTCGGTAGCACAAAAGAAATCGCGTGCCGACTAATAACCGGCCGAAAAGTGAGGAGGGAAGTCGCGTATAGCAATAACTGCGTCGTCGATCGCGTGATTCGCAGCTCCCGCCATTTTCATCGTGCGCCTTGATTTTCGTCGGAACGGACGCAGCGAGTGATATAATAAACGTTTCCCCGCGTGTGTGCGTGTGTCAGGTGCTGTCGATTATATGTCGCGTGTGATTTTCGCCGATCGTGGAGCGAACCAGCGTGTCGCTGTTGGACTTCGAAAGGAGCCGTCCAAAGGAGATAACGATGCTCGAAGACATCCGAGGATTCGCGGTGCTGAGAGTGCGATTTCGTCCTCCGATACGGTGAGTTTGTTATTAGTTTTCCTCATGGGAGAATGAATGAGTAATTATTATTTAGGTACTTTGTGAGATGGTGTCCCAGAGGGAGAGGGAGGAAGGAAGAGAGAGAGAGAGAGAGTAAATGAAAAATTACATTAGCTCGATTAATACATGAATACCATGGAGAGTTAAATCATGAAAATCATGTAAAATTACGATCTTATCTCTCTTAAGACCAGCCATCATTGGGTCATTATTGTATTAAACAGGAATTTTCATTCCTGTTTTATGAAACTTGATATATCTACAGTATTTTTTTGACTGCCAAATTCAAATACATACAATTTTCTGATTTTTTTAAAATGGCAGTTATTTGCTAAATAATTCACGTGTATATCGAGATTAATCTCTTTATTATTTTTTTATATAGGTATACTTGCTAAATAAAAATTAATTATCTATCCGTCATATTTTATTCCGGCTTTATGTATTTAATCTTCCATATATCTTATTAATTATATTAATATAATGCTCTCTATAACAGATATAGAAGATTATTAATACATAAATATGACAAATGCACGAAATGTAAAGCAAGGTATATATGAATATAGAAAAAATAAAATACGCCAATACCATGGGTATACTAGGTATCTAAATCGGGAAAAGTTTTTTGAACAAGTTGTGTAAAATAATAATACCGCGCGTATTTTCAAAAAAATTAAAAAAAAAAAAAAAAAAAAAAAAAAAATTTAAACCGTATTTATAATTAATTTTTATATAATGATTGTGCAATATAATTTTGATGAGTCCATTTTTATATGAAATGATATTAATATTTCTAATTGAATATCATCGGTATATAATTTTTACTCCTTTTTATGCGTTGATATTTTTCAACTGCAATATGTGCATCTAACTTTCTTTCGTGTATAAGATAATATCAGTAATTAAAGCAGAGAATAATAATAGTATATGGTCATCAGACGAGCAATTACATTCTTAATTAACTAATCAACTAACATCACGCATTGAACTTTCTTTCGTGATATGTATGATAAACTGCCTTTTTAGATGGTAGAAATCATAGTAATAAAGATTATGATTGTGCGATATTATTAGGTACGCAATTACAATCAAAGAGTTTCTATTTTATTCTGTAGCTCGACTCTTTGAAACACGATATCTTGAAAATAACGCAACTTGATTCTAAATAATATTGCGTTATTATCAGTATATATACGATTGTATATTGATATATCTATAATTTATTCTGTTTTACACGTATCCGTAAAAAATGCATTTGTCAGAAAATTTGCAATTTATCTAACGTTATAGTAAAAAAAGGTTAAATTTGCAATATTTATTATGTGAACAATTTAAATTTATTTGAATCAGAAATTGTGGGAGAATAAATTTAATTTATATAGAAAATTTTTTTAAACAAAAAAAATATACGTATATGAAAGAGAATAACAATTTAAATTATCATACGACATTATTAGAAATAACATTGTAAGTATAAAATGATTGTCTCACCTCCTGATTACTTATCGGCTCGATGATTATCATCGGAGATGGGAGCGGGATATCGATCTGCGTCATGCACTGCGGAATTTTGTGCACGGTGCAGATCCTCGGTCGAACCCTGCATTCGATTTCCTGAACGATCGATCTGTCGTGGAAAAATTTCTCCATTCTCAGCCGGCACTCGCATAACCACGGGTTGCCGTCGATGCGCACGGTCCTGAGCATTGTCAGATGCGACAGCTCGTCCACCGAGAGACAATCGAGGTCATTATTGCGTAGGTCTAGAGTCTCGAGTCGCGGTAACATGCGAAAAACATCGTGCTCGACGTGCACCAAACCACATCTGAAAGGATAATATGAATGTATTTTATGTACCGTACACATGTATATATTTTTCAGAATCTCGGAATATTAATAAAGAAATGGAAAGATATATAAGCATGTCAAGATCCAAGAATTTCAAAATCTAAGAATCCTTGTACTAGAAATCCGCGAATTAAAAAATTTCAGATATTCGATGATATTAGAATTAAAAAATCCGGAAGGTTCGGGTTTCTAATAATTGAGAATCCGAGAATAATCGATTCTGAGAATTTGACGTAATTTAGGACGAACTTCGTAGGCGTAATCTTAATTCCATAGGTTCTACTATTCGTAATTATCGTAGTTTCTAATCGTTGATATTCGGATACTGGATGACGTCACGCTTACAATGTACGACGAATAACTAGGTCACTGACATTATCGAATATATAACTGTCAGACGCTTTACATAAGTCGCTGCAAATCTGGCCTCGATTTACCGATGTCCTCGAATTTGATAAATATAATATATGTTTCTCAATGCAACGACCATCGATGACGATTTATTTAAATTGAATCTGATACCGAATATCATTGACAAAAGAAAACATCGCCAATAAAATTTTTAATTAATAATAATAATAATAAAATGTTCGTTATTATTCTCTATTTATATATATTGCAGATTTTTTTATGAATATAGCTTTCTTTACTCCCATGTTTTTGAATCCCCTCATTTTGATTTTCTTTATAATATTAAATTATAAGAGATGTTTACCTATCCAAGATCAATCGTCTGAGATTCGGTAGGTGACGGAACCACGTGGTTCTCGCCGCGTGGATCCTCGTGCCGTGGAATATCAGCCAATCGAGTCGATGCAGGCCATGAAACGCATCGGGTTCGATGACGTTCACGTGACAATTGTAGAACGATAGGCGACGGAGATTCGGGAATCGACGAAAGGCACCGTCGGGGATCGCGTGAAAACGCGACACCGAGAACTCGATCCACTCGGTCTCGTCGGACAGTTCGTCGAGATCGCTCAGGTCGCCGTGGATACACACGTAGGCGATCGAACGCTCGTTATCGGCAATCGGGGCTAAGCTGCATTTACTGTGCACTCGGCCAATTAGACCGACCAACGCCCAAAGCAGCAATATCGAATTGAACATTCTTCCTCGTGGTCTCAGTGTTAGTGGGTCACCTGGAAGGATTTATAGTATGATTTATAGTCAAGTCAAATACTCAAAGTCGCAAAATTATATTTAAACTGATATACGTTTCATACATAGAAATAAATGTGTTAATAAAAATATTAATCAATATATAAACAGGAAATTAAAAAGATATATATTATACATATGTGTGAAGATAAAATTAATGTGTAATGAAATGTAATAGAATTTGAAACTTGAGAAACTCTCTCTCCCTCCCGTTTATATATATTAATTAATTAAAATATATATTTCAAATTTATTATATATATTTTCAAACTTATAATCATTTAACATAATTTATTTCACACTATTTACCAATCAATACATGCACGCACAGATACTCAGAATCTAAAGTAAGTCTCAATACTTCCCTAATATCCAAGTATAAACAGTAATTACTTTACCTGGAAAATTGTACTGCGTAATCTCGCCCACTCGTTTCTATGTTTGTTGGAATCTTTTTAATCCTAAAAAATATGTAATGAATATTAATTTCGATATTAAAATGGACTAAGAATAATATTTTTAATATGCATAAAATAATAAAATAAGTGACAAGTAAATAAATTATTGTAAGCTAAATTTATTCGCGAATCGTACCTATTATAACAAATTTCGCGATGATGTCACGGTCAGAAAATAAACAGAAAACGTGTTGATTCGTTAAAAGTGTGCACGTGGCTAATGCCAAATTTTCGTTATGTCACAATGTCTCATTGCGTTTAATATAAACTCAAATTCGTTATAAAATAATCCAATTTTATAGTACTTTTTGCGTAACTTGAGATACTTTATCCGGCAAACTTGACGTAACGATGTTTGCATCGAGCATACTAAAAAGAGTTAAATAGATTTTTTGCATATCTAATGGGCTCAGCCTGCATAGCAGATGTGATTCTTATGCATGACCATAATGAAGGAAACCAAGGTCGAGAGAATTGATTAAGCTTTGTTTTTTAACACACGGTTAATGCGCGAGTCCTTTTTTATCCGAATCCGAATCAATTCTTTTGTTAAGTTTAACGTTCATTATCATTACAACATAGTGGGTCACCTGGAAGGATTTATAGTATGATTTATAGTCAAGTCAAATACTCAAAGTCGCAAAATTATATTTAAACTGATATACGTTTCATACATAGAAATAAATGTGTTAATAAAAATATTAATCAATATATAAACAGGAAATTAAAAAGATATAGACATATGTGTGAAGATGAAATTAATGTGTAATGAAATGTAATAATATTTGAAACTTGAGAAACTCTCTCTCCCTCCCGTTTATATATATTAATTAATTAATACATATATGTTTGCATCGAGCATACTAAAAAGAGTTAAATAGATTTTTTGCATATCTAATGGGCTCAGCCTGCATAGCAGATGTGATTCTTATGCATGACCATAATGAAGGAAACCAAGGTCGAGAGAATTGATTAAGCTTTGTTTTTTAACACACGGTTAATGCGAAATCGCGAGTCCTTTTTTATCCGAATCAATTCTTTTGTTAAGTTTAACGTTCATTATCATTACAACATCATGTATGCAATTTATTAGAGATCGCAAAATCTCATTTAACTCACAACAATAATTATTAAAAAAAACTTATTGTTAGATAACTTATTTTACATAATGAAAGATTTAAAAATCAAGTCTCATGGAAGGTAGAAGATATCTTTTCTTTTTTTTTAAATATATTTACGCTAATCGTAATCGATTTTCGAAGCATCGATATACGGAACATCTTCTTCGTAATTTGCGTTTCGGATCGACTCACCGCGAACTGCCGTAAACAGTATCGATTTCCTCGCTCGAGAGCACTAGCGACGCGTCACGCGACTCACTGACGCTCGCATCTGTCAAAAAAGCGGAAGAGTTTCGCGATCTATCGTGCCGCCGTCGCCGCTGCCACCCACGGGCTGGTCATTCCGTTTCTGCCAAGAAGAGAGTTGATTTTCCGCGGCGACGAACCCCTCCACCGTTGTCGCCGGTCGTTCGATCGGTCGAAGCGCGGTGCGCGCGCTCCTTTAATGGTACCTATTTTTCTGATCGCGCTATCGCTTGCATTTTTACGCAGTCACGTTTTTTTCATGGAAATTTCCGACGCAGTAAATAAAACTGACTTCCGAATCTCGAATATTATTCCCACTGAAAGAAGCAGAGAAACGCGAAGAGTTACTACGCGGAGAGTGACTCTAACGAGCCGATTTGTATGCGGAAAAGTATTTAATTAGATATTTCCGCGTCCGAAAAAAAAAAAAAAAACAGTTGACGTGGAGAGACGTGCTAATGCATTTTATTCTCGCGTATAAAATGCAGAGACTGCTCTAATGGAGCTTCGTATCGGAATCGATATAAAAATCGACGAGGAAAACATGCATCGTCGCAAATGCGAATCGTCCGATAAGTCACGATATATTATGTCGCGTCGATAGGTCGAAACGACTGAGCTCGCGAATCAGCCGTTTCCTCGTTATATAAGCTCGTAAGGCCAAGGTCGCCCTTGTTCCCTGTGCCGGTAGTGGATGCACACCGATTCCTGCCTGCAACGACCTATCTTTAGCACGGCGCGCTCTAGTTTGGGATAAAACTAGACGCCTGTTACAGGGTGACGCGCAATTCGCGACGCGAACGTGCGGGGGTGGCCGAAAATGGAATTTAATTTTTGTATGCAACATCAGATAGAAAAACATGAAAATTCCGCGTGAAAAATCTTCCTCCTGTTATCTATCTCTCTTCGCAAGATTTATATAAAAATATGTTCATATATATATTTAAATATATTTAAATATATATTTATATAAAATCATATAATTAAACATCAAGTATTTTTTCTTAATTATTATGTTAATAAAATGTAAAATGTGGTCGCACATCGTTTTCCTTACCCTCTTTATAAATGATACACTTCTAAATCATCCACAAAGAATCATGATCGATCTTGTCATTGAGAAGTCACTTTCGGAAAGTCACACGTTTAAAAACTGCTAAAAAATTATATTGCGTTCTATAGAAAATAATTAACTAGAAGAATAATCCTCCATGTGTTGAAAGACGCTTGCGGGATCAGATCTAGCCAAATGCGGTCAAATCTCGACGAATCTCACGAGTTTTTCCACGAATCGACTTGCGAATTTAAGATCGATTCTTGCGATCAAACTCAGATTTTTTTTCCCCGTTAAAAAGCCCGCATCTTTCGTACTCGCGTTCTTTTCTCGTGACCTATGGTACCGTGCGGTCGGTCCATACCTGCGTCAATCCGCTACTACGCCCTGCGAAAATGGTAGCACTCTTCGGACCATCAAGGTCTCTCGCTCATTGCCGACGAAGCCCTCCTCGTTTCTCTCGGTCTTCTCCTTCTCCTTCTTTATTTCTCTTCTCCTTCTTCATATGTCTATCTATCTTGGTCTTTCTTAAATGACTGCATTTATGACGACACACACACGCGGTGCACAGTGAGGAAGTACGTACTGCCTCAAAACGCTCTATTCGTCTCCCTTGGCATTCCTCCTTGCCTCGTCCGTTTCCGCATCCATATCACGCTCTAATTTTGATCATAATATAAATAAAATTGGACGAATTTTCGATTTTAGAAATAAGCAAAAATAACAATGTTTTTTTTAGCATAACTAAAATTTATAAAGGCTGTTATATCGTGATAGTAGATGTAAACTTGTCAACCAATTTATAGTCGGTTTTCTCAAAGAACATTTTTTTGCGGCATTGAATATCTCAGTTATTAAACGTGACGAGTTAAAAGTTTTGAATATTTCAGTTATTAAACGTGAGGAAATAGAATTTTTATGACGTCAAAGTTATGCTTTAATTTAGAATATTAAGGTTCTGCATCTTTATTGCATTTCAGAATGTGTGTAACGGTATTTTAAATTTTAATTGAGAATAAATCGATCGCGAATTAGCAGAAAATTATTAAATTACAATATATGAATTTTTTATTGTTTATTACTAGAATTTGATTAATCGATTATAAATAACCGAATTATTTTTAATGAAGAGAAAATTATTTTTCTCTTGTTTGTGTTATCTGTTCATTTGCTATCGCGTGCGAGCTATATCACATTAAAAAACACATTACAAAATTAATAGACACGTAAAGCATACATGACTGCTCATATAAAGTCTGTATAATTATGACGAGATGTAATGTGTACTACTATGTATGTTATTATCCGATGCGTCGGTAGCTCGCGTTACTTGCGTATCACGATACGCATCTAATACGTTTTGTTATGCAATGTCACGGCCTAGTCCAGAAATGCGCATTATGTCATGCAGTCCGCGAAGGTCTAACTGCACTTTGGCAGAAGTATAATCAACAAACGAACGATCTTGCTTGCGCACCATTTATTCAAATAATTAATTGTACATACAAGATAGTCATAGAATAGAGACACATAAAATATATAAATAATAAAATATATAAATAATCTTATATATTGACATTACATTAAAGGAATTTAGATTTTCATGAAAATTTGCGAAATTATTCTTTTTCGAATTCTTGGTCTAATCGTATCGATCTTGATAATATAATGTTTAATCTTATCTGTTTAATATAATCGAACACATGTTAAAAAAGACAACACATAAATTTGCGCGTTTATCGAATGGAAAAATAAAAAATTCAAGCATTATTATATATATATTTTTTTTTTCAGGGGAGAGATTAAAAATATCTTCAGCCGGTTTTGAGTAAATTTTATTTTAACAAAAATCGCATGCGAAGAATTTAAAATCGTACATTTATAGAGAAATATTTTTGATGTCAAAAATTCGAAAATTGCGTTCGTAAGAACCGTCACGGTACACCTATCCATTTACCCATCCATCCGTCCACTTTGCTCATCCAAGCCAAATGCTAAAGACGATGCGTCGTCATCGGGCCGGCAGTCTCGTGCGGGCTTTCGTTCGCGACGCATGTGGTTTCACGTTCGTTCCTTCGTTTGTTCGCTATTGTCGATACAATCACCGTTATAAAGCGAAAACTACGCGATCTTCGATTCTGCGATGATGAACAACGTCTCCGTAGTGTCGCGTGAGCAACTTCGTGAGTACACGCGAAGTCGATAGGCTGTGACAATCGGGCCGTATGATGATCAACAGATCGCGCGATCTCTGCCGGGATCGTTAATGAGCGATTGATATTGTCATTTGTCACGCGTGGAATCGTTATTATTCATCTGTTACGTGAAGTATGAAATCTAGATTTATTTTCCATGTGATCGCGTGATTTTTTCAGTTAGAAAAAACATATATCTTGTATTTAATAATTAGATTTACATTTATAGTAGAATATACAGAGGTAATTATTATAATTAAATGCGTGTATTATTTTTTTCTAATTATTACAAAATTATGGATGCAAATTGATATTTTATGTATGATATCCTAATATTTTTTTCTAACACGCAAGCAAGCAATATTGTCGAAGCAAATTATAACATTATCATGTAATGAGATATTACATTCCAACGTCTTATTGAAGTACCGTAATTAAAATTGGAGGTATCTTAAAGAATGTTTCAGGGAACTTTCTGGCAACATTGATACACATGGCTTAAAAATTGTCTTTTTTATTATTATTTATTTTTTTATTCATTCTATCTTATCATACTACATTTTTCTATTAATTAATTCGCAGGACTTTTTATGAAAACAGAAAAATTTTTAAGCCATCTGGGATGTAATAGAAAAGAAGCGGTGCCTTTTTCGGTCATCCATAAAAAAAAAAAAAAAAACTGTGCAATCTGTTGCATGCAGGATTCTGATCGAGGGCAGCCGGAAGGAGATTGCAACGGGCGGAAAAATGGATTCTCACGACGGTAGCGCGAGGTTCCCCCGTCGCGATCCGCGCTTAGATTTACGTGGGACGCCACGAGCCATAATCACGGCAGGTGGGTAGAGCCGAACAGGTATTTGGAGCGCGACAGACAGACAGGCGGGCGAGAGAGGGCTGTTCAGCGTTGCGACGCGTGAAAAAAAAAGACAAAGAACGCGAACCGGCGCGAGCCGGCAAACGATCTAGCAAATGAAATTAGCGGCGATTAGGTCAGAGGGTCACCCACTTAGCGCGTACCAAGATCGCATAAAAAGTTGCGACTCCACGAGAAACAGGTGTTGTAGCTTGCGCTGATATTAGAAGCGTTAAGTTCTTATATGGATATTTTAAGAAAGTTAAGTTTCGCGAAAGGAATTAGATATTTAAGTTTATATATCGTGTAAAATTTCTGAAACAGACCGAACGCCATTTAAACGACGGTGACTTCTCGTAACATTCATCAACGCCGATTAAATGATGGTATCATCGGTCATCTCGAGAGGCAACGATGACGGAAGCGTTGCTCTTGGAACGCTAGGCCGTAATTTAGTGGAATGTGGGTATAATTCGACAGAAATGTGTGCGTTGAGAAGGATAGACTAGATAGGCTTGGTTTACAATACTTCTTGTACGAGAAATATGAATGTGTACACATATAGATTTATATATGTATATAAATATATATGTTTAAATTAGACTTCTCTGAAGGCTATATCAGAAGATTCTAATATGTGTTTATATGCCTCATATATAACATATGTTATATATCTCATTTTTAGCAAAATATGATTAATTTATACATATCTTTTTCCGCATGACAGGATATGATTCGTTTTGGAAATACGTGCCTTTCTTTCCACTGAATATCTCGACTCGCAATTAATTAATTAATTGCCAGCGATGATAATGATCGAGTACCTGCCGAGTGCAGCGACACGACGAAAGTCCGAGTGATTGAGAGCGCGAAAGGGACCCAACCGTGAGTAGGGAGTCATGTTGTAAGAGAGAGAGAGATATATATATATATATATTAAAAGAGGGAGAGAGAAACATCATTCGTGGAATAAGACCGAAAGGAACGGTGGCGGAATGGAATGGAGCATGGCATGGTATGGCATGAGACGTGGTCAGTTCGCATTGAACTGCCGAATCGGACGCGTCTCGGCGCGTCTCCTCGCGAGAGGGGAACCGCGATTTATTCCGATTAAAAATCTTCGCGGATTTTCGTCGATCTTGGATTTCGTCTTCTCTCTTCGAACAGGAGGGTGCTGGCGTTCGCGGGAAACGAAAGAATTGAAGATACCTATGTACAGGTGTGCCCCTCGCGCGCGATTCTTCTCACGTCGATTCCCGCGATTTGCATGCCGACGACGACGCATACGACGGGCCTCTAAAAATCTCTCTCATCGGGATCGAGATCTTACGAATCGACAATTTACTCGAAGTAGCAGTGCGTATATGTGTGCGTTTTCTTTTTTTGTTTGCGTCGAACGAATCGTCTCGATCCCGCCGAGAGACGTAAATTGGATTAAGAACCGCGTGATGCGACAAAGTATCAAGTAGTAGAGCTTCTGCGATCTCGTTGGTGTAATAAAGCTTAATTAGCAACGTATACATATATGCGAACGCTTAATTCCTTACGGATGTGGTAAGGCTTCCAGAGAGATTTATAAAATCATACTAAAGTCTAACGGCAAAACAAGGAGGAGAAGAAAGAAACAATACGGAACTGAATTTAATATCATACTTTTGTTTCGTGTTTAACCGTGACTTTAATGCGTTTGTGAAGTTGATAAAATGAAAAAATATTAAATTTATTGGAAAAAAAAAACCGCGGAATCTCATGGTTACAGCTTCGTCATTCACTTTATGATTTTCTTCTGAATGCACGTAACGGTACAAGTGTAACACCGTGGTAACGAAGAAGCAAAAACATTACTGCTCTATCTGTGTCGTACAAAGCGTGTTTTTTATTCAATTTAATCTCGGATTTATCTTCAATAAATTCATTAACCAAACATTAA